GGCCCGGCAGGAGCCCGGCCCCCCGCAGCCGCACCCCGTTCCTCGCCCCGCCCTTCGGCAGCCGCGGGTACTGGGCCCGCGGCCCCGCGTTCCCGCTCGCCTCGCCGGCTCCCCCTAGCGGCCCGATCTTGCCTAACCACAGGCCAAGGATCCAGTGAGAAAGCGACCTTCGCACCCCTCTGTCGCCTCCTCTGTGGACGTCACTCATTTGTCCACGGGTGTCTTTTCCTGCTCCGAATCCCCACCCATTCACTTCGGCCGCTTCCGGTCCGTGACGCAGTTGGCACTGGGGAGCGGTTTCTGCGGGTCCCCCGTGAGGCTGCGCGGGAATGGGGAGCAACGACCCACAGCGGGCGTGGGGTCCACGTGTCTTGTTGCCGCTGACTAGGACCTCGGTACTGGGTTAAGTGACCCATGGGGCCGGGCCTGGAGGTGCAGGCCTGCAATCCTAATACTCTGGGAGGCTGAGGCAGGAAGATCGCAAGTTCAAACACAGCCGAGGCAACTTAGTGAGAACCCTGTCTCAATAAAATTTAAGAAAAATTTTAAAAGGACTAAAGATGCTCAGTGCAAAGGCCCTGGGTTCAATCCCCAGTACCATTGCCACCCCAAAAAAAGTTCTCCACTGCAAGGTCACCCCTTTCTCCTCATAACTCATCAATATTTGGGGAGAAGCAGCTTTTGTTGGTTTCGTTGGTTGGTTGGTTTTTTGAGGCAGGGTCTCACTATGTGGTCCAGACTGGTCTTGACCTCACTCTAGAGCCCAGGCTGGCCTGGAACTCTTGGCATCCTCCTGCCTCAGCCTCCCAAGTGCTGAGATTACAGGCCACTATGCCTGGCTAGGAAGAGGTTACTTTTAAACGCTGCACATGCCCTATTTTTCCCTAAATTTCCACCACTGATTTTAGCATCCATCAATGGACTGTGCCTGTGGAGAGTGCTACTGCTAAAACGCTGATTTTCTGCCCTCTCTTTGTGCCTTTAGTTTTGGCATGCTGGGGGCTGACCAGCACCTCACACCTGCTGAGCTATACCCCTAGCTCTTCCCACATTAACTAGAGTTCTTCTGTAAGGAGGATTCATGTCTCCTCCCCCAGTTATGCATTTATCTGTTTATATCAACATGGACTCATAGAGCTGGAACAGTGGCAGCCACATGTAATCCCAACTACTTGGGAGGCTGAGGCAGGAGGGTTGGATCAAGGATTTCAGGGCTGTCGTATGGTGTTGATCAGGTGTCTACGCTAATTATCAATGGGGACTCATAGGAGTCTCGTAATGTAATTCAGTTCTGTGGTTACTTGGTTGCTCAAATGGTTCTGGCTTTGCCATTGGGCGCTCAGAACTGGCCCCTCTGCCTCCTTGACAAAACCCCATCATTTTGTTTCGGGAGCACTTCCTTATTTTTTGGCACATTAAGTCACACCCGTCTCATCTTGTGTGAGATGTAATTAAACAATACAGTGAATGTTTAAATCAAAATAAATTATAATAAAAGATACATGGCCATGGATCCGCCTTCAGATCCTCCTCCTCACTCCAAGCGCACTGATCCCACGGTTCCCGCCACTTTTTGAAGCAGGTCTGGGAGTCTTCTTTCCTGAGGGTCTTCACAACGTGTGATCACAAATACAGCGACTGCCGCCACCTAGTGCTAGCCCGTGGAAAGGCAGCCTTGCAAAAACGCGGCGCTGCGTCCTCCTTCACCTTATTCACCGGCTCTAGCAGTGTGTGTCTCCTGGCCCTGACCTAAGTCAGAACGACCATGAGCCGGACATGCTTTGAATCAATTCAGGACGTCGAGACAGCCATGATGGTGCAACTACAGACCCTCAGGAAAGAGCACTCCAGAACTGCTTCAGAAAACGGCGGGAATGATGCAGTGAGTTCGCCGGAAGCGAGGGGGAGCTTTGTCAGGGGGATTCGTGGCAATGTGTCCGTCACTGTAATAAACTTACAGTTTAAATATTTACATAGGTTTTGATCACACCTCAGACGCTCCCTGTCCCCAGCCTTGAGATCAGCCAAAAAGACAGAAAGCTAGAGGCTGGGGAATTTAGCTCAGCGGCAAAGCGCCTGCCTGGCAAGCGCAAGGTCATGAGTTCGGTTCCCAGTACCGGAGAAAAACCAAAAAAAAGACAGAAAGCTAAATCACAAGCAAAGGCGAATTAAAAGTAGAGTAACTGGACATTATCAGAATCTAACACTTCATGCCTTAGCACATTCTGAGCTGCATGGGGCATGGAGATCGGACGCCGGCCTCTCTGGACCCTGCTGGTGGCCGTGGGTGGGATGGCTTCCAGATATCCCCAGCCGGTGAGAGTTGTACAGACATCATGGGTCAGCATTAACAGTCCTGGACTTTGGACACCAGGCCCGCATATCTGAGCGTCGCGGCCTCCAGCAGCCGCCGCAGCCCCGGAACTCTTCCCATCCCTGGATCGGGGCTGAGAGCGACTTTTAGTGTCAGCAGTGCCACCTGCTGGCCATTTTCGGTACAAGTGGCCTTTACGTTACAGGCTGTAGGTGACCAGGCCGCCCTCCGGAGAAGGAGACCCGGGACGGGCCTGGCTCCTGCGTCCCCACCTCGGCGCCCGCTCTGCCGCCTGGAGCCCTCGAGGGGGCGCTGTGCAGTGACCCCCAACACCGCGCCCCAGCGGTAACAGAGGTGCGGCTCAGGGGCCTTGCGCGCCAGACACATTGGGTTCCCTTCTGGCCCCTCAAAAAAGAAAACAAGAGCGGGTAAACGAGCGATTGTGGAGCACAGGAAAGAAAGGCCTGAGCAAGACCCCAGACCCTCAGAGCACATACTGTGATTCCATTCCTAGCAAGGCCGAGAATAAGCAGTCCTCGGTGGGGCGTGGGGTGCGCGCCCGTAACCCCAGCACCCTGGGAGGCTGACGCAGGAGGATGTCGAGTTCAAGCCCAGCCCGGGCAACTT